CCCCCCCAACAAAAACACACATACACAAAATGCCTAACAGCACCCATTCCCCAGTGCTCTAGGCCATAGTTTGCCCTCATAACACAATGGAAAGCACCACAATAACAGCAGCAAGATCCCAGATTGCTACAACACTCAGCTACAACAGCAGCAAACACAGAAATAAAAGGAAAAAAACTACATACCCTCAAAAAGCCTCAGGTACACAAGGATCTCCAAAAAGATACCCTTCCCTTCCCTGCCAACCCTTAAATGAGGTCTGGGAAGGGGTGGATCCTGGCTCTAGCCTTTCCAGTCACTCAAATGCATTGCTTGCACCTGAGCTCTCCTGGATTGGCCCTGCCTTCCTACCAGGTGCTCAATCACTGGGTTCAAGCTGTCAGCTAGCATTTTCGCTGCAGCCCTCAACCCTGAAAACGTTCTGAGGACCACTGTATATCTGCCACCTATTTCCACCCTCACCCCCTAAAAGTGGTTCCATATTGTTAGCAGTTCCGTGGTTCAAAGTCTATCTACAAACTTTGCTTGCAAACTCTATGATTGAAGTAAAAGTGTTTTTTTCAATGTGGTGGTTTTTCAATAGTGGTTGCATTTGTACTAAGAGAAAACATTAAGAAAAATACATTTAGAAGAGAGGAAATATCATAAAATGTATGTAAAAGTATGTGAAAAAAAATGAACGTAAAAGAAAATGACTAACCCAACTTAAAGGACAATGCTTATTTTGTCACCACCACTGACAGGCTCTGTGATACGTAGGACACTGTTAAGTTAAACCAGGATGATTATTCACACTTTTGTGTTGTTTGGGAGTGGGCAAATGCTCATTTTCCGTACACTGACCATACTACTGCATTTTCAGGTTCAGCTACTCTTCAGCTACTGCAGCATCAGGAACATCCCCACCTGCAATACAGTTAACAAAACAAATGTGGGTTCTATTTCTTCCTATATGTACGCCTAATTTTATAGTGCTGAGAACAGTCTGAGGTTGTTAACTGTCAGCAGGATCAGTGCAATTATTTATATCTATACAATCAACAGAGCTCTATGCAGATTTTGAGGCTTTTTTTTTAGTCACACTGTTGCTCCAAGTAATTAATAACATTATAGGGCTGTATAAATATAGATAAAGATGATAACAGAACTGGAGTGGGGCAAAAAAAAAAAAAAAAAAAGCTTTCCTAAAAAACACACTCATTTTTTTTTTTTTTTCCTTTTTATTTTAAATAAAGCTGTCTGTGAATTTGAGCCTAGGGAGACCTTCATTAAAATCAATTAATCAGCCAGCCTCTCCGCTGAATAGCTTTCTGGAGACAAAGTCAAAATAGGTTTCAGGAGCGCGGTGCGGTCCCCCTACACTCTCCGAGCCCGCGGGCCGTGCAGCGCCGTGACGTTCCAGCGCTGCCCCCGGGCACCTCGCTGCCCGCCGAGGCCTGGCAGGTGCCCCAGGCCCCGCGCAGGTGAGCGCCGGTTCCCGCGGCCTCGCCTCCCCTCAGCCACCCGGCTGCGTGACCCCGGCCGAAGGCTCCTTGCGCTTTCCGATGCGGCTGAGGCGGCGGCTGTGTGCGGAGCGCCCCGCTGCAGCCCGTTCCCTCACCTCGGCGCCCCCCGAGGGGGGAAAGTTGGCGGCCGAGCGCGCCCTCGGCTCCGTGCCGTCGCTTCCGCCGCCCCCGCGTTGAGCCCGGGCGGGTGTCCCCGGCAGCGGCGGCGGCCGTAACCCCCCCCCCACCCCCGGCCCAGCGGCGGGCGCGGAGCGCGGTGCCCTGCACAGCTGTTACGGAGCGGCGCTGGTCCCTCCTCCCAGCTGCGGCTGCCTCATCTCCCCCCACCCAGCCCGGCCCTCCCCTCCGCCGCTCCCGACGCCGCCGCCGCCACCTCCTTCTCCTCTCCCCACCCCCACCTCGCTCTCTCCCCATCTCTCGCTCCGTCCCGTTCCCCCCCTGCCCCCGCCTCTCCCCGCCCCGCCGCCGCCGGCCCTGGCAGAGCAGGCACGGCACGGCGGGGGGATCTCGATGTAACACCATGACAGGCATCGCCGCCGCCTCCTTCTTCTCCAACGCCTGCAGGTTCGGGGGCTGCGGGCTGCACTTCCCGACCCTGGCGGAGCTCATCGAGCACATCGAGGACAACCACATTGGTGAGCGCCCGGGGCAGGGCAGGGCACGGCCGCGTGTGCGGCGGCACAAGGTGCGGCGGGAGCCGGGGGGCGGCGGCCGCCACCGCCGCTGGGAGCGGGCGGGCGCGGAGCGGTCCCGCGGGGCGACGTGGAGGGCGGCCGCGGGAGGCGGCCGCGCCGTGGGTGTGGGCGCGTGCAGCCCGCTGGGCGCAGCGAAGGGAGTTAGTTGGCGTCGGCAGCGGGGAGCGCGGAGACCCGGAGGAGGAGAAGGAGGAGGAGGACGGGCGCAGCGCGCCGCCTGCTGCTTCCGCCCCGGCTCCGGCTGTCAGGGCTCCGGGGAGGGAGGGAGCCGCCGCGGCGGCAGCCATTCCGCTTCCTTCTCCTCCCGCCGCCGCGCTGCGTCCTGTCAGCGCTGTTGCTAGGTGTGGCGGAGCACGGCTCGCCCGCCGCAGCTCGACCGCGCGGGAGGCGCCGGGGGGGACGGCTGCGGGCGGGGGGGCGTGGAACGGCGGAACTCCCGGGGCCGAGCCGCGGCTTCGCGCCGTCCGCTCGGTGGAGCCCGAGCCGTCACCTGTAGGCTCGCCCCGCTCTCTCCCCGCGGCTCCGTCCCCGTCCCGGCGAGCCGGCGGGGCCTGCGGGCGGCGGGGCGATGACTCGTCAGTGCCTTCCCGGCGAGGAGGGTGCCTCGTGGGCGGGCGGCGGGGAGGGAGGGAAGGAGCGTGCGCAGGGGCCGCCGGGCCGCCCCTCGGCTGTGCGGGCGGTGCTGAGGGGAGGGGGCGGTGCGGTGCGGCGCGGCGCTGCGCGACGGCCGTTCACGCCAACTTTCTGCGGGCCGCCGCTAGGCCCTAGGCGTGCCCGCGTGGAGCGCGGCGCCGGGCCGGGCGCTCGCGGAGTGTCTCCCCGCCGCTCCGGTCGGCTGCCGGCGGCTCGGCCCCGGCAGGTGTTGCCTGGAGTTTCAGGCGACTTCCCGGGCTTTCTCACGTTTCTTCGTTTATAGAGAAGCTGCAGTGTTCGAGCTGCTCCAAACGGGGCTGCTGCTTCTAAAATCGGGGCAGAAAATACAGAAGTTTTAAGCACCAGTGGGCTGCAGGCTGCTGTGATGCAGTGGCAGCGTAACAAAATAACGTGCTGCTACAAAATGATGGAGCTGATGGTGCACGCTTCAGACTAATTTCAATAAGCAGGCCTGAACGACTGAAAAATTAGAGAAGCTTAAATCGCAAGTGTAGCATTACCTTCATGCAATGCTGTGGGTCAGGGAGATGGGAGGTGTGCGGCTCGTAATTACCATCGTGTTGAGCATGAGGTAACAAAACCACACACCACAACGCTCTAATTTATGACTCGGCGTGCTGTGAGTTGTGATACTGCTCTGGCTTTGGGGGTTTTCTGCTGAATCTCAGTTGCCGAGCTTTTCCTGCATTGTGCATTGCAACAGAAAAGCTCAGGAGAAACAGAGACCAAACTGAAAGCTGGCAAGTCATCTTGCATCCCTCCAGTGGTTATCAGCCCAGAGGTGCTACAGCCTGTGGGGTGTCAGGACAGATAGAGACCAGCCCACGTGGCCTGTAATCTGGGGTCAGCAGCTCTCTGGCTCCTCTGCACAGAGGGTAACTTCATGCTGAAATGTTGCAGTTCCTTAATCATCGTGTATGTGATGTTTGCTGCTTATTTTCCTGTCTCAAGAAAGCAGTACACTTTCAGTGTGTACACCTGCATTTAACATGTTTGCCACTGCTTGGACTACAGAGAGCTGAAGCTTTGCCCATGTGATGTCATGTGTGCAACTGATGGGGTGCAAACCAGTGGAAAATAGCACAAATGTGCTTTAACATTTCCTCTCCACGTGGCAATAAGGTAAAGGCAACCTGCTCAAGCATAGATAATGCAGGTAGGTTGTGTTGCTCAACTTCATCAAATGCTTGACAAATTAGTAGGGAGTTGCACCTATTATGCCAAAGTGGATCTCAGTTCTCACCTCCAGGCCTCAGCTACACGAGTTGGTGCATGTGGTGGGCTCCTGGAGCAGCCTGAAGGATCAGAGCCCCAAACTCACCAGGTGCAGATTCTTCCAGAATGTGATTAATGTTTTTTCTTGGAGTGAAGAAGCAAACCTCCAAATAGGAGCTTGTGTTGCACCTCCTTTCTCTGTAAGTCTGGTGCAGATGGAGTCCAGTGTTTTCTGTCACGCAGGGCAAGAGATGTGCACCAAAATTTGCCGTGTTAATAGTTAACTGCAGCTTCTGGCATACATACCATGTAACATACCATGTAAAACATAGGTTGCTTGGGATGTTCGAGGTGTGCTGCGAAAATAAAGGAAACTCAATTATTTTCCATTGTAACTTTAAACTGAAGTGAGAGCTTACAAGGCAAATGGTGTCACACTGCAGATAACAAGCCTGATGCTTTGAACAGCTCTGTGGGACACCATCCATAGTGTGATAGTGTGGACTCCTGGTGGTCTCTGCATGTAGTCTCAGTTGCTGCAATGGATGCAGTGGAATGGGAGCTCTGTCAGTGGAGTGCTGGTGAGAAGTTGGTCATTTTTCGAGCTATGTTGTCTCTGAAAAGATGGGAACAAGTACTTACCCAGGGATCTTTTCCATCAGCCTTGCCAATAAAGCTCAACTTACTGTAAAGGCTCATGGCATTCCAAGGTCAGAATGTATTTAGTTTCTACTGTTCCTTTCCTTACTTGTAACATAGCATTCATGAATAATGACATGATAATGAAGTAGTTCATTGTGCAGTTATGGGACTTTGTGTGTGTGTGTTTGTTTTCTCTTACTAACATCTTATGGACCACCTGATAAATGACCACTACATTGAAAAAAAAGATTTATGCTGGTAGACTGGGGGAATTGGGCATGTTGGATGAAACATTCAAATTTGAGATGGTGCTGACGACCCATCAGCAGATTGGCTTTGGTCTCTACTTTTTCGTTTAATTATTACATTTATGTATTCTGTTGCACTGAAAATAGTTAAGCTAATTTGGGAGCATAGCTCTTGGGACTTCCCAGAGGCCCTAACAGTGTCCTCTGCAGTGAGAATGTCTGCAAAAGGAACTCCTGTAACTCTGCAGCAGCACTGACTATAAAAGTGCTCTATTTGCATTTTATATGGCTCACAGCTAGAAGCGGACATTGATTCAAAACCATTGATTACTAATTTTTATGATGCTTCTCTGGGAGCTTTTTCTACCAGCGTACTGTCCATGCAGTCTGAAGTGCTGCCACCTCCTCAGCAAGTGTGCCAAGAAGGGGCCTGTTTGTCTGCCTTAATAGGCAGTCACCCTGACTCTTGGTTTTTCATTGCTCTGTCCTCTTGCAGGTTGCTGGTTTACTTCTCTGATGTTGCTAGGATGGGAACAAAATGCTTTGGTTTTTGGTTTTATTTCATCTGTGATTTGATTTATCATCAGTCTGCCTGTAGCTGAGCTGCATCCTTTAGATCATGTAT